TATATATATATATATGATACAACAAATATTATATTTGCATCTTCTAAAATGTAAAGTTTGATCAATTACACTTCTGGAATTTGTACCTAGCTTCTTCAGTCATTGTTCTCACTTGAATCAAACGCACCGCTTGGATACCACTTGTTGGGATAGAATATGCATTAAGAGCTTCAATTACTTCACTATCAAAACTACACCACAGAAAATAAAAGTACCGATTCAAAAAATTTGAAACAAAATAAAATCGAACAGAAGCACCATAATGTAATATAAAAAAAACACATCAAGATTCACGTAGAAAACTTGAGAATGAGAAAAACTATGGAGCCACACAACACCAATACTTAACTATGAATGAGAGAAATGTACAAAGATACACACTCAAATCTTCTCTCTATAATCACTGGAACATACATAATTTTGCTCCAAACCTTTCTCTCGATCTTACAAGAGAAAGCCCTTGCTCCGAAATCTCCCTTATTGAGTCTTTTCCGCTTCATGAAAGCTCTATCGAGAAGTATCACACCCAAGAGAAACAAGAACCACCGTTCGGTATCGAGGTATTTAATTCTTATAATGGAGAAACCACCTCAACATAACCACGTCGTCACCCAACACAAGCAAAGAAAATAAAGCAGTTGCAACATAGCTATGCATCTCTGTTGCTCGGTGCTTCTTGCGGCTATGGCTGCTTTCAAGGCTCCACTTCTCAAACAACAGATGTTTAAATCTTTTTAGAGTTAGCACGATACTAGATCAATAGCTTCAGCAACATAAATGAACAATTTAATTCCTAACAGAGCTCAAAATAATCACGACAGAATATTAAAAATATTATTGCACTCTATTATCTTCCAGATCAAAGAAATGAACAAAGAATATTAATTTAAAAAATTGAAAAATAAATAAATAAAGAAATTAGGTGTAACAAATCATCCCTCAACAACAATTAATTGACGATAAACAATTAAAAAATCATAAAAGATTATAAAAATCAAATTTTGAAGTTATTTAATTGGTCTTCCTACAGTTCAAACGGATCTGGCCGCTGTTGCCCGTCAGCGGACTAAGAGCTCCCATCTTCACCATGGCTGCCGCAAAGTCACGGAAGAACAATTGGGTATTTGCACTGTACTGTCTCACCAATGAATCCTGACTCCCATTATTGAATAGCTCCTGGTCGGAATGCAGCAGCCCGCGACCAGCCACCAAGTTCTGATAAAAATGAGCCCCAAATCGATTCGCGCCCTGTAGTCCGTCCAGCGGTGCCAAGTTATTGTCGCCGCCCGAAGATGGACAGTTTCGTTTCCGAAGAGCGGCGAAGTTGGAGTTTATATTGTTGTCGTTGTAGATGTGGGAACGAAAGGTCGTGCAACTTTCCGAAGAGCGGCGAAGTTGGAGTTTATGTTCTTGTCGTTGTAGATGTGGGAACGAAAAGTGGTGCAGCGAGCAAGGCCGATGGTGTGAGCTCCAGAGAGCGCAGTCATGTCGCGCGGGCTCATGTTCTTTGCCGCAAAGGCGGATATGAGTGCCGAAAGGCTCGAGGCTGGGCCTGGAAGATTGCTGTTGGCTGCGCTTTGGCTTGCCGTCGTTGAGTCCCTGCGTCCCAGGGCTACCGGCCATGATGGTCCGCCAAGCTGCATCATATATTTAATGAAAAATATATCATTTATACCATGGAATTAGGGGCCTAAACAAGCCGAACAAGAGCTTGAGCTCGCTTATATTTCGAACTACAAAAGTACGTTCGTGTTCGGCTCATTTGCTTAGCGAGCCGAACACAAGCAAATCGCTTTGACAACCTTAATCACGTAGTCATAAGATGTTAAGTGTTTAGGCAAGATTTAAAAATTATTATTTATATTAAAACATCATTTGAATCTAATTTAATTATTTTTATTCTATTTTTTTAATTAATACTTTTAATTGATTATAATTCTTTGTAGCCTTGTAGTCAAGTAAACTTTTTAAAAATATTATTCATCAATATCTATATATAT